CCCCCACCCGCCGCCGGAGGTCTGTGCCGGCTTCTGCTTTCTGGCTTTAGTCTAACCCGGAGCAGGCTCTGGGCTGGGGCTTCCTGCTGCAGCTCTTGGGGGTCAGCCTGGCCCGCGGGGGCCTCGCGCCTGCACAGGAGGACCAGGGAGGCGCCCGGGGCCCCAGAGCTGAGCCCGCTCTGCTCCGCTGCCCCCCGGAGGGGCAAACAGCTCCCTGCGGCCCCCAGCAGTGGTCACCGGCCACGCCTGCCCGCGGCCGTCCCACCCACCCACCGGCCGGCCGGCTGGGCAGGCGCCCTGGCTCCAACTGCGGTGGCCGGGGCCCAGAACCGCAGGCCCGGCTGCCCTCAGCCGCCGCAGTGTCCGGTCCGGCAGGGATGGCGGCTGGACGCCCGACTCGCCCACGCCGCCGCCCCTGCGAAGCCCGGTCAGGCACTGCGGCTGGGGGCTTCCTCCCCGGTGCCGCCACCCCGCCCCGCCTCTCTGCCACCGACTGGACCCTGGCCAGCAGCCCCGCCCCGACATGGGGACCCCGGAAAACGCCGTGGGTGTCCCACCGCGCCCCTACCCGCACCAGCTGGGTAGGAAGGGCCAGTCAGGAGGGTCGTCTCGGACGGGGGCGCAGGGGCCAGACGGGGATCCCCAGGACCCACAAATGCCGGGACGCCTGGACGCCGACGCCCCAGCTCCTGCTGGGTGCCAGCTTCCGGGGAGGCAGCAGCGGCCGGGCCCTGGGCACTCGGTCAGCGCCGGCCGGGCCCCAGCAGCGAGGCTCAGCGCCCCCGGGGCACGGGGGGACACCTTCTCCCGGGGCCTGTTTGCCCGAGGGGCAGCCGTGGCCTAGGAGGGGCAGGCCCAGCCGCCGCCCACTTCTGGTGCCTCTGTGGCCGCTGGTCTCCAGCTCAGACACTTGCCCTTTAATTTTGGTCAGAGCGTGGACACGGCTCAGGCCCGTGTCCCCCTTAGCACAGCTAGGACAGGCTGGCGTTCGTGCCGAAGCTTTCCCAGATACCAGTTGTGGAAGCTGGGTGATGGGAAACCCTAGGGGATTGCAACTGAGATGGGAAAATGCCCAAAAATATGTAAAAATAAACT